AACAGGGAGGAACTGAACAGAGTGCAGCTTCGTCTCTTCACAAAAGCCAAAAGGGGACTGGTCTGGTGTAAAATGCCTGGAGGGAAAAAACACAACATGGGAAGTCAGTAAGAAGCTATCATCTACTCCAAGCAAGTAAACAGCAACAGCTGTAACACCCAGAGTTGATGTTTTTTATACTCAACTATCCTTCATTCCTATTGCTAATACAGTTATCTTAGCAAGGCCAAGAAACACGTAGCACAGCTAGAGGCAACTACCTCAAGTTTTTGCAACCAAAAATCCTTTCTTTGCTCCTCCACAAGTCATGCATTCAATGCTGGGATCTGATGAATGTCACGGAGTTACCTCTAGATCTGTGTCCATGACAGGAGGAGACAGGCCCACAGGCCCAGAAAAGAGGAGGGGAGTGTCAATGGTTTTGGGCCTTCAGCCCAATTGTGTGACTAATGGGGCAGGGGACCCAGAGACCCACACCTTATGAAAGGGAAAAGGGGGAAGGGCAGGGAGACGGGCCTGCAAATGAACAGTGGCAACGATCTGAGGAGGAAAGTTAATTTACTACATTTGATATTGGAATGCGAGATAACACAATATAATACAATGTATAATTAGAACCGAGGCTAATAAATCAAATAAAATGAGACAGAGAGAGTGTCCAAAACCAAAGGCCTTATTGAAATTGAATTGAAAGCAAAATGGCTGGGGAGCAAGCCACACACACCGCCAGGCAGCACAAAAAAAGAGACCAGTCCCGTGACCTGCAAGGAGTTTTATCTCCCCCTCTGAATGCAAAGTCCTCTGGGGTATGCAGTTCTTCTCTTCTGAGAATCGGGTACCTGGAAAATTGGCAGTCCACAGAAATGGGGCATTAACTCCTTAACTCCCGGTGCTTTTCATGATGTTATGACGTGGAGTACCGATAACAAAAATGGTAAAGCCATGACAGTGCTGAACACACACTAAAATGGACCTGAACCATTATTTAACTTCTTTTTTTCCCCCCATCCCTTCTTCAACTGAACACAACGTAACATGGCGCAGCCCTCAGTCCTACTTTTCTTTCCTATTGCATCTCATCCTTTTCCTTGCTTTGCTTTGGAATTCACAGCTGGACTGCAATACCAATGCTTCAACAGTTTTAGATAAAAGTTTAAAGGATTTGATTACTAACAAAACCAAAGGTGTTGTTTTTTAGGGCTGAAGATACTTAGTAAACTCCCCGTTCCCAGCTGCACAAAGGGAGAACTTTTTTTTTGGTAAAAAGTACTTCAGTAACCATGGCTTCAGCTGGAGTTGAACCCCACAGAACAAACAAGCAGAAGGCAGTGCCTTGATCGCTGTCAGGACTGGAGATTATTTCTGACTGTCACATTTTGTAGTAGGCTTGTTGTAAATATTAAGAAAATTGCACACAAGTTACTCCAGAATAAGGTGTGTAAAACTGCTCTGCTAGTTTGGCATGAAAGTGTAAGAACTGGGGGTGGCCAAATGCTGGAAAAGGCTGCCCAGTAAGGAGCTACTCGAACTCAGCTGGATCGAGTCCTGGAAAGCCTAGTCCAGCTGATCCTGCCCAAGCAAGGAGATGTTAAGGAGAGGGACTCAGCAAGTCCCTTCCAATCTAAATGATTTTGTCATCCAGTATGCTGAGAAAATACCATCCCTCCTGATACATCACAAGC